TAGGCTGCAGAACCTATACTTTGGAGACTACTGATCTACCATATTGCTGATGGAAAGATGTAGCAAACACAAAGTTTCCAATAAGGGACATTAGGATCGATAAATCACAATCTTTGCCATAAACAAACAAATATAGTGCAAACTCATCACAATTCCTTTTCAGTTCAGTGATGTTTATTGCCAGAGTAATTAGGCAAAGGACTACTTCTTATACCTTCACTTTTTCCTTAGCTCATATTGACAGAAACTTGAAGTGCCTCTTTGCAGCTTGCAGCAGTTTTGTTCTGTCCATTCTGTAATGAATACAATTTCCTAAAAATCCTTTTTTCCCAAGAGTATAAAAGTAAATATAAGAGCAGGAGCTTTCCAATGATTTTTTATGGAGTAGTTATCACTAGAGGAAGAATTGTACAAGGCAAAGTCAATAGGGAGAAACACCTGGTCTTGTGACTTCATGAGGTTAAAGTCCATGGTTTAAAACAAAATGCAGCAGTGATTTGTAAATGGTTATTCCCCTTGGTAAATCAGAATATTATATATAGTAAGGAATGAAGAAGCAAAAAGTTGTTTGCACACTTTAACTATACCCAACTTTTAATATCTATAAACCAACCTTTAAAAAAACTGAAAAAAGTAGTAATTCCTATGTCTTCAATTGTAATGTAATGTAGTCAGTTATTCATGGCAATACTTTATTTTTTAATAATGATAATTATTATTTATTAGATTTGTAGACTCCCTGACTCTCAGTAAATCTGGGAAGTTTTTAAACATATTTAAGAATATAAACAAAGAAAGAGGGAAGAATATTTACAAACTATAAAATTTAGATAATACAGTAATTTACTACATGTAAGAAAAATAAAAACCTTACTTATTTTAGCAGAAAAACATTCTGCTAATAACATTAAATTGGAAGGAAACATAATTATAAATCAATTTGGTACTTTTAAAACTGTTAATAGTTTTTGATTGACAAAAATAGCCAAAATAATTATTATCAGTCAAAATAATTATAAGAATTTCTAACCTTTCTAAAGCAGACCATCCATAACTGTATGATCAATTAGACAAAATCTATTGTTTTAAGACTTTTCAAGAGAAAGCCAGATTTCAGATGTGCAGATGTCTACATGCAATATTACAGTCCACAAAGTTTTAAATTAATTTAAATTTAAATTTAATTAATTGGACCTGCCACAAACCCCAATATTAAACAACAGAAATACCTCTATCCTGCCACCTTGTGGCCACAGGCCACACTTGCTTTTTTGTCTCAATCATAAACCACAGTTAAGAATCAACAACACTTTGCATCTGAACAATATGTTAAGCTACCTTATCTTTTAACATGATTGCCTGGTTCACATAATACACAAAACATGAAGTGCTTTGTAGCCACAATGGTGTGTAAAGCATGACTGTGAAATCAAGCTAATACTTTCTGGAATGTCTTTCACCTCTAATTTTAATAATCAATTAAATCCAACGATGACCAGAATCATTGTCTCTTTCAGATAATTGGGAAACATTAACAGTCCAAAGCAGGGGTCTTCAAACTTGGCCCTTTTATGACTTGTGGACTTCAACTCCCAGAGTTCCTCAGCCAGCATGCCTAGCTGAAGAATTCTGGGAGTTGAAGTCCACAAGTCATAAAAGGGCCAAATTTGAACCAAAGGAATATTTCCTCAAAGGATATATGATGAATCCATCTCTCCATTTAATTTGGAGGAATTTAAACATTTTTTAAAAAGAGGAATTTCCTAGCAGGGGAACAATAATTTGAATGCAATTTTAGAAGAAACTCTAAGACACCCTCCAATAAATAGACCTTCAATGCGAGCTATGCTACTTGGGAACTTTGGAAGTTAAGGTCTCAACAGATCTAGAGGAGGTTGGATTAAACATCCTAGAGCCCTTCATAAATACTTTGACTACCTGTACATATAGGCACAGAAAAAGCTCTTCTGAACAAAACTATAGGATTATGTACAAACAGGCATTGATCTTTACAGCATGAAGACTAAACAAGGTTTTAGAGTGACCCAGGGTAATAATAATGCTTCTCTACTTTTTGTTATGTTGTCCTGCTAATTTGTTTCTCCAGTTTGGGAAGGAGGGGGGGTGTCAAACTAGCTCTTGTGCCTCAGATCTACAGTGTCATTCATGATCCTGCATGTGCTGTTGGTCCCTCCTGGAACTTAAAACCTTTCTCCTAGTCTAGGGCAGAGGTAGAATGGATTTCACAAAATAAAACATTTTGTTCCCAGAGCATCAAGAAAGCAGAACAGTTCTCTCCTCTGGTGAACTTTATGTAGAGTGTGTGGAATCAAAGTCCAGCTTGTGTATTTCTGTTATTGGCCAAAAAAATGTCCTACGGGACAGTCTCCTCTTGATGTGATTAAGACACAGAAAAAGCAGCCTATCACTTACCCCACCCCCAATATGGACATTCTCCAAAGGAGATGTTTAAGTCAAAATCACCTTCCTTCCGTTCTTCAGAGCCTAAAGTTGAAAAATCACTGCTGTCACTCCACCCATTTTGGCAGCTGACAGCAACGACAAATATACTATGCTGGACTTAAGGTTGAAGTCTATTTTCATAGGATGTGTTTGTTTTTATGGTAGTGGGAAAGAGAGAGAAGGTTGTTTTCATGGAGTCCAGCCAAGGCCTTGGTGCCTGAACATTTTGCTCTCTGGTGCATCATTACCCTGCAACCTTGAAAAGGAAAAAAGTGGGACTACTACTAAGACTGAGCAATTTGTTGTAATTCCTCCAGTTTTGTTTCCATGTCGCCTAGGAAATCAATAAGAGGGGAGCACAATCATACTGGCCTCCACCCTATACTATCAAAGTGATAATTCAATATTTGAAATGATCAGAGGGATCTAGACCAATGCTTTTCTCATTAGACAAGAAGGTGGCAGTCATAGAAAGAAGTGTGATAATACTTCTTTTTGCATAGACATTAGTAACAGAGATAGTGATAGTGATGGTCATTTTGTGTGCGTGTTTGTGTGCGTGTGATTAACAGCAGAGAGGGAGAAAACTGGTTCTTCAAGTCCAGAGCACTGTAACCTTTCAATTCCCTTAAAGCGTGTTCCTGAAGAAGATACACATTTTTGCCTGCACTATAGGCAATTCCTCTTTTTTTTTTGGCTAAAACTTTAATTGTCCTCCAAAATACTTCCATTTTTTGGAACAAACTTTCAAAGAAAAGGCATGTTAACTTAATGAGAAGTAGCTCCTACTGATTGCTAGTCACCACTTTAGGCTGCTGTTGCCAAAAACTAGGTTTATATTTAATATTTTATTCATCCTTGATTTGATAGTGGAGCTGTAGTAGTTTCTGACTTTTGCTGGAGCATTGCTGCGTCCAGGATCATTCCCCAGTTCAGCCCTGCAAATAACTGGCACTGGTCACTTCCAAATCTTCAAACCAAAATAGCAATCTATCCACTACTCTAGAAGTAGCAGACAATCTCATGTGATTATCTGTTTGTTACTAGAGCCAAATTATTTTTGGCTCAGCTACACCACAGAACCAGTTTGGTGTAGTAACATCAGACTAGAAACCAGGAGATTATGAATTTTAGTCCCACTTTAGGTATGAAGCTGCAGTGTATCTTAAATACCCCCCCCCAATGGTGGGATTCAGCCGGTTTGTACCACTTCGGCAGAACCGGTAGCTAATTTTTTGTTGCCCAGGCCCTGAATGGACTTCCGGAAGCGGCATCTACACAGAGAACCGGTTGTTCACATATTTGAATCCCACCCAAAAGTAATGTTTCTGTTTGCAACAATGAATTTTTGCAGGTCATCTGAGTGGGCTAATTTCCCACTGGTGAAAACTTTACTTGTCTGCTTCCTATGTTTACGTTAGTTCTCACCCTTTCCTGAAAGAGTAAGGCAAAATAGGTCTTCCAAGTGCAAAGAAGTATAGCAGCTTTGTTATTTTGCATCTTCCCCTCATAGTAACCATTCAGCTGTTTAAATCAGGGCTTTTCAACCAGTGGTACGGGTACCACCTGTGGTATATTGGCACCTGGCAGGTGGTACGTGGCCATCCTAGAAAAGTGGTAGCGGGGGAGGGGAATGAGCTGAACCGGTGGCAGCACCGCACAAGCCTGAGCGAGAGATGGCTGGAGCTGCAGGGCTGTCAGGGCTCAGCGGAAGCGCCAGGATCAGTGCTGCTTTCCAGCTGATCGGCGCTTCTTCGGGGCTGTCAGGGCTCAGTGGAAGCGCCAGGATCAGCGCCAGGTTCCAGCTGGAGCTCGGCACTGATCCTGTTGCTTCTGCTGAGTCCTGAAGAAGCACCAATCAGCTGGAAAGCAGCACTGATCCTGGCACTTCTGCTGAGCCCAGAAGAAGCGCTGATCAGCTGGAATGTTGCAGCATCGCCAGGGTCTTGTGATTTACATTCAGATGCTTGGCAACTGATTCATATTTATGACGGTCACTGGTTCATATTTATGACGGTAATGTGAAGTGACCAAAACCTGCTGCAACCACCCAAGAGACGGGGGGAATAAAAACCAAACACCCCCCACCCCACCCCCGCTGCCAATCCTCAACAGAAATGCTCACAATGAAAACCTCGGACAGGAGGAAGAGCGCGGCTAGGCAGGCAGGCAGGTGTCTTGCTTGGCTGTGGCTTGGGGGGCACTTTTTTCAGTACCATTGTAACTTCAAACAGTCACTAAGCGAACTGTTGTAAGTCGAGGACTACCTGTACTTTATCGCTTTTTTCTTTTTTTTTGGGTCATCAAGTTTTTGACACCTTGCTAGGCGACTGGTGGTTCTCAGATATTGCCATATCCTAAAAGTGGTACAATGGGTGAAAAGGTTGAAAAGCCCTGGTTTAAATCACCAAGCAATACCACATGTTGGGCTATTTAGAATTTGTTTCATCCTGTAAGTCTCGTTTTATAGGCTGCACCATTTTTGGTAGCGAAAGAGCCTGGCAACATTTCTTAAATAAATTTCAAGAACACATTAATGATACCTCACTTCTTTATATCAATATTATTGGTCCCAAATGACATTTTTATATACATGAGTCAAATTTTATTTCCTAATGGAGCCAGAAAGCTGTAATTGCTTCATCACTTCTGTTCACATCTGATCAACATTGCCTAGGAAATTATCAAAAAGCACCAATGATCACCTTAAAGCAAGTTTACAGCGGGATCAACCTTGGAAAATGGCAAGAGAAATCAAGTATTCCTTGGAAGGCACAGTTGATGATGGCTTGCATCAGTCTCCAATATCCATCACTTCTGAACTGGTCTCTGGCGAGGCTGACTTAAAGGCCTCACTGCTTCTGGGGATTCGCAAGGTCCACATTTCTCAGCAATACACTTTAAGCAGAGGGGCTCCAGAGGAGTCTGTCTCTGTATCTTGAAAAGAAGAACCTCTACTTAACAGGGATCCTGCAGGGGAATGGGAGGAAACAGGAAGAGTTATGCATATAAGAAATAAAAGCTAAGGTAAAGCATACTGAAAGGATAAGATGGAACAATATTTTGTGACCACAGCTGCATATATAATTTCCCCCCAATAAAAATCTCTGTTTTGTGAATAATTTGAAAACTGTATTGATTTGCATAAAACTCTTTTAAAATCTAGAATGTGAAGATGACTGTTGTAGAATGGGCATCTGACACTGCTATAATTTTTAGCTGCTCTCCCACTCCCTCCAAAATGGGACAGGAAGCACTGGAAATGGATAAATATGAACTGCTGATTTTGGGATTCACTGATTAAAATGGATTGTTTATGAGAAAGAGGGAACTAAAATATGGAATTTGCCAGGGTACAGATGGTAACTATCAGTTTTATAAGTGCTGAAAAAGAGGTCAGAAATAGCTTTCTTAAATATCTTCTTTTTTTCTTTGCTTTTTGCTGACCTTCACTTTTTCCCATTTTTTTATTTTTTTATTTTTTCTACGTGTTTGTAACATTTTGCTCTTATGTAACATTCTTTTTAAATAATACACACACGCATGCATACACACACACACAATAGGACGGGAAGCCACTCATGCAAGTGAATTTTTTTTTCAAACAGTGCAAATTCTAACAAATGTAAACAGTCGAAATAATGGACAAGAAAAATACACAATGCCTTCCTTGGTTTCTGTTCTTTTGGCAATGAAATCCATGTGCTAGATTCAAGAACTGTGATGCTTAGAAAATTGCTCTGCTTGTTTTTATTTAAAAGAAAAGTCTTTCTCAGCATTTTTAAAATCCCATTTCTGCTTGTCAAGAGAAAGAACACTAAAGCCTTAGAAACTCAAAGACCTTGAACCACATTCCATTCACCTTCCATTGAACATTTGTAAGAGGCTCTCTGTAGCCATGAGAGCGGGATGCATGCTTTAAAACTAGAAAGATGACAAGCTCACATTCTCAGCCAAATTTAACAGCACTGCAGTTATGGATACCCAGCCCTGTTTAAACCTGCCCCAAGAGCCCATGCTAAACCAGAGAAGTTCACCCAGCCATTCCCATGTCCAGCTGAGAAGGTATAGCTCAACTAAGCCATTATAGAAATATGTAGATGTCTTTGAATTGATCTCAATTCCTGGGAAGTACACAAAGACATCCCTGTGATTCTCTTGGGAACAGTAGAAAAACGGTTTGTCCCCTTTATCATGATTAAGTGTCCTTCAAACCTAGTTAAGGAGCACTGTTGATGCAGCATAAGGTGCTTCAACGCTCCAAAGAGGCAGCAGGTAAAAACAGCCACCTGGGACGAAGGCTTCTTTTCAAAAGCAGGACTGGGCAAAATATTTACTGCTAGATAAAGCACAGTTAAAATGACTGCAATAATGACTAGAATCTTTTCTTCATATATTTTGCCCTATATCAAGGAAAACGAGTTAAAAAAATAGATTCGTTTTTTTAATTCTTTTTTCCTTATTTTTATCTCTTTTTTTAAAAAAAAAACAAAATCCTCTGCTTATCTTCTGACTGTGCTAGATTGTAGTTGAAGGTGAATAACAGGATCATTTTTCTGTTTACTGGAATGAAGAAACATGGTGTGTGTGGGTGTGTGGGTGTGTGTGTGTGTTAAAAGTAGGCTTTTGATGAGAACTGTGACCTGACTTCAATATGAATGTGCAAAGTGAATTTGGAAGTTTAGAATTAGCTAATTTGCTGATCATACACCTATGTGTTTTATACAGGTTTAAACCCTGTTCTTTATGGTCACTCTGCTTTATTTCTCACCTAACTTCATTGAGTTGGCTTCAGGACTGCAGTAAAAGTAAAGAAGACCCTGCACTGCCGAGGCATTCTCTCAATTATTTTAAAGGGGAAAATATATTTATGAAAAGGTATACAGTAACATGGAAACCCTTCAGAGTCCCAGGCAAGCAATGAGCCCTCTTAGAAATAAGCAGCCATGAGGGCTAGATTCTTCCTTTTAGTAAAATCTGAAGGATGATTTACTTCCCACTTGATACGATAGAGTCTCCATTAAAGGCCAGAGCTTACATTCCATAATTATACTCATTTATTCTTACGACCACCCTCCCCCTTCCCTTGAATTTTTTGGTTATCAGGCACTGGATAACGGAGTTCAGAAATTGGAGAATTTCAGATGGCATTAAAACGCCAAGACAAGTTCCTAGCCCTTAAGGCTCTGTTATGCCTTAAGAAACCTCAGAAGCCAGCAGAACCTGAAGCACCCAAGGACAAAATGTTCATACCTTGAATACCATTTGCCTCTCTCCATGGCTATCAGGAAAAGAATAATATTACGTTTTATGTATATATATATTACAAACTATGTTATATTTATTTATTTGTGTATATGGGCACTTGCTCATGGTTATTAAGACCCAGTATTAGAATAGTTCAAATGGATTTAATTCATTCTTGAGTGGTTTACTTTGCTTTAAGTGAACAGGCAAATCCTAGTCAACCAAGATTTCAAAACTAGTATTTTTGCAACTACAGGCGGTCCTTAATTTACGATCATTTGTCTAATAACTGTTCAAATCTATGACGATGCTGAAAAAAGTGATTTACAGCCAGTCCTCACACTTATGCCATTGCATTGTCCCCTATGGTCACATGATGAAAACTCAGGCATTTGGCAACTGGCATGTTTAAGATGGTTCCAGCATCCTGGGATCACATGATTTCTGTTTATGAGCTTCCCAGGGGGATTCTGGCAAGCAAAGTCAGTGAGGGAAGCTGGATTTGTTTAATGATCCCATGATTTGCTTAACAACCACAGCAAAAAGGGATCTCAGAGTCTTGAAGTGGTTCCATTGCTAATCAAATGTGGTTTTTTTGTATGTATGTTTAATATGATATGTTTGAAATGTTTGTTTTTATACTTTGTTTACTGTGCACTGCCTAGAGCAGGGGTAGGCAACCTTGGCTCTTTTATGACTCGTGGTCTTCAACTCCCAGAATTCCTGAGCCAGCCATGCTGAGGGGAAAGAGAGAGGTTTCCAAGCTGAGCCATGCTGGCTCAGGAATTCTGGGAGTTGAAGTCCACGAGTCATAAAAGAGCCAAGGTTGCCTACCCCTGGCCTAGAGTCACTTCTTGTGAGATTGGCAGTCATATATATTTGATAAATAAATAAGCTAGTAAACTCACCCAGACCAGTTTTCTTTAGGGCAAAATTTCCATAGCTTTCTGTATCATTTAAATTAAACCATTTGCCTACATGGGTGCTTTATTCTCAGTTGCAATATACTTTAATGTTTGTATTATTTTAATTTTTTTTTTTGCTGCCTTGAGTCACTTGGTAATATAGATAGACATCATAAATACCCGTTATGCCAGTGCTATTTTAGAATGAGGACCTCAAAAATATTCTTGGCACAGAGTTGTTTAAATTTGGGCATTAGAAAGCAGTAAATCCCAGCACACGTAGTACAGCCAAAGCAATGTTCGGAATAACATCAATGGGAAATTGTTCATGACCCCTCCATGTCTAAGGAGGTCTAAAAAAGCCACTTTTTTGATGGCTTTCCTAAATATCAACAGGTTGGGGGTAGCATAATTTTTCAGGGTATCTATGTACTATTTCAAAGGGGATTGTGGCTGAGACGGTGGTCCCGGAAGAGGACGCTCCTTAAAAAAAGAGATTTAGGAACTGTCCCCTTTCCCAAATCTTATTAGCCAGGCAGATGCCACTGAAAGAAAGAGAGATACAGTATTCAAGCCCTAAACTCTGAAAGACTTTAAAGGGGACAAGTGGTATTTTGAATTGCTCCTGGAAGAAAACTGCTGACCAGCACAGTTCCTAAAGCAGAGATGTTACACAGGAAAACCTGTACACCATTGCTGCATTCTGGACCTCCTGAAGCTTCCGGATGGTCTTCAAGGGCAGCTCCATTTAGAGTGCATCACAGTAGTCCAAGCGAGAGTGACAAAGCATGAATGATTGTGAGCATGGCCATAAATAAATTGAAAATTCAAGGCCCACTCACAAACTTTCTCTCTTGTAAGCCAGAAGTTTCACGTGACATACAAGAAGTGTGAGGGAATTCAATACTGGAACAAGCGAAAATCTATCCAGGTTTGATGCGGCATCTCCTTTTTCTGAGCTCCTTGTTATAAAGGGATGCATAGAGTATCCATACTGAAGGGTCATATGGATGCATGAACAAAACACATACTGAAGTCAATGGCAAGGCCATCAGACTTTATCCTTTAGCCTTGCATGTGTCATAGAAACGAAGAGCTGGCAATAGACCATGTCATCCAATTCCTTACTCAGTTTAGGGAACTAAATCAAAGCATTCCTGCCAAATGTCTATCCAGGCTATGCTTAAATATACTGTATTCAAGGGACAGAGCATAGCACTTTCATAGATAATTGGTTCCACCTTTGACCTAATTAGCCATGTTGAACTATCTCTAGTATTCCATTTATAACAGTGGTGTTAGTTAGAGAAAGGGAGAGAGGGCGGAAGGGAGGGAATTGTTCCTAGTATGGCTCAGATTGTAGGGTCCTTGGTGATCTCTGAGCTTGGTTTTCTTGCAGACCAAACTAAATAACATCATCAATGCACTGATGATGTTACCTAGTTTGGTAATGAAACTTCTGCAAGAAAACCACCCCACAATTTTACCTTGAGTTATAAATATTATCTTCTATGGCTCAAATCTTTTGGAATTACGACACAGCTGGATCACCAGAAGGGTATTCAATTCATGGTAGCCAATACCCATAGATCTGCATGGATGCTCAGCATGGGTGCTACAATGTAAGGCTGTGCAAAGCTACTGAAGGGGAGCCTCACTTTGGCAATGCCTTGAGGTGCATCATGAAGCAACGTGAGGTGCATCATGAAGCACTTTTACAGAGCAAAACAGAACTGCCCCATTACTTCATTTTCTTCCAGTGAGCTCCAGGAAGCACTAGCAAAGGATTTTGTGCATATAATGCTGGATGTGCCAGAGGAGACCTCAAAAGCAACATAAAATGCATTAGGAATTTAAGTAGGGTTACCCCCACATCTAGAGTAGCTGAATGAAGGTCACCTTGTACCGTACTGGTCAGAGAAATAATTGCATGAGGTGGAGGAGAGGAAGCAGCCCACCAGGGCATAGATTCTCCTTGCGACAAATAATTCTGTATAACTAAAGACAGATGGGGCTTCCTTCTAAATCCAGAAAGATACAGTCTCATTCTTCCAAAACACATTATTATTACTGCACTATTTTTTTTAGAGAGAGAGCCAGTGTGATGTAGTGGTTAAAGCACTGAGCTAGCAACAGGGAGACCAGGAATTCTAGTCCTATCTTAGACATGAAGCTAGCTGGGTGACTTTGGGCCAGTCACTACTCTCAGTCCTAGGAAGAAGCAGGCAATGACAAACCACTTCTGAAATCTTGCCAAAAAAAGTACAGGGACTTGTCCAGGCAGTCACCAGGAGTCAACGATAACTTGAAGGCCCAATCAATCGATCCAGTATAAATCAGTACAGTAACATGGTAGAAACCCATTAGTTCCTCCTTACAGTTGGTCAAATTGCAGATGTCTGTAAGTTCTCCCATAGCCCCATTTCTTTTGGAAAAGCAACAATGGCCAAACAGTCATAAGCTCCCAAATCCCAAGCAAAGCTCTCCAATATCCTAAAATATGTCAAGAAAAATCACCTGCTGCGTTGTAGGCACCTTGCCTCATGTTTCTGGCTTGCACATCTGCTGTAGTTTCTATCGATATCTGAACAGGTAAATCTGAAAGGCAGTGAGCAGAAAGGTTGACATTTGAATAGACGCCCAAGGCAGATGGGTCGTGTTACGTATCTTTGGATTCACCTAAGAGTGTCCAATGTGGGCAAAAATGTTGGATCAGTTAAGCATGTCAGACAGGGCAGCAATAGACAGTTCTTTGCTCCCTGAACTGCTCAAGATCAGGATCCAGGGAAGAAACTGTTGATCTCTGAAGCAGCCAAATGAGAGGGCAGTATCCTGCTGTGCCACAGGTTTGAGCTTTTATCGAACAGAGGAGACTTAATTTCACAGAGAAATAGACCATCCCGTTTTAAAAGAGGAATCCCAGACTGAGAGAAAGGCTGGACACCAGATGGGACTGTAAAAGATGTATACAGTCTTCATTTAGTGACTGCCTCATTTAGGGGTTATTCACACAGCATTGATTAAAAAGCAACTTTGGAACCAATCCTAACACATTTACAATTTTGTAAAGCAAAGGGAAGCTGAAGTAAGATCACAAGCACAGTCGTGGCTTCACTCAGTGACTGCTTTGATTAGTGACTGAGTTGCCAGTCCCGACTGCGGTTGCTAAACACACAGACGACTGGTAACAATGACATTAAAAGAGTGCTGGTGCAATTTTAGTTCCCAATTGAAGCCCAAGTATTTTTGCAAAAGGATATTTCTTCTCAGAGCAAAAAATACATCTGCAGCTTCAAATGCCATTCCTTCTTCTCAATTATTAGGTTTCATAGGACCATAAAGGGACCTTTTCTCAGACACCCCCACCCAAAGATCACTGTTTTTGCCTTGGATCTTAATCTATGACTCTTTTGTTGTTCCGGGAGGATAACGGGCTGCTCTGGAAAGAAACATTGCAGTCTGCTGGACCTCCTCTGAGAGCATTCTAGGTCTTGTGTAGGAGGATCCTGAGGCAGGTGGGTGACCTACAGTGTCCCAATTCTCTGTTGCCAATCTGCCAAACACCCCACTCCCACTGTAGTATGGAGTCTAGGTTTCCATGGCTATTTCTGTTTAGGGTACCAGTGAGAACAGAACCTTGTTTTTCTTTGTTTTGTCATGGGAATGAGGGCCTCATGAAAGATCTTCCTTGAGATCCTTATTCCCATTTGTGCATCCCCCTGCCATCATTTGTCCTACATTGGGACCTTAACATTACCTCCTCTCACTACTGCCATCACCACTGCTTCTCTGAACAACCATTTTGACCCATGACAGCAGTGCCTGGTCCCAGGCAACCCGTGCCAGCTTCTACCTGGGCACCGTAGCCTGTGGGCTGTGCCCCAGGGGTGAAAAAGAGCAGGACGACACTTGCAATTGCACCAAGGCAGCCAGGGAAAGGGAGAAGCAGCGTGCCCAGACAGCTGCCGCTGTTCAGAAGTGTTGCTGCTCTCTTAGGTTGTATTTTGCATTCCAGGGGAGCAAGTGATAATTCCTTTGAATATATGCAAAATGCTTGTTGCAGAAAAGAATAGTCTTTTACTGAGATGACTGCCCACTAGAATTTGAGGCAGTATGCCTTAATTGCCTATGTCTATGTGTAAGCTAGGCAGATCTAAGACACATTCTGTGAACGGTTATGCATGCAGGGTAACAAATGGCCCCGCATGGGCATTTCTGATTTGATCAGTGAGAAAACAGTATCCTACTCCCAGCTACTCTGGGTGTGACAATGTGGAGGGCCACATGATTAGCCTCACCCCTAAAGTCATGTGCTCCCTTTAGCCTCTCTAAAAATGGTACCCTCCAAATAAATAAATCTCCAAAATGGTAACCTATAATTTCCCCATCAGTTAGGCTGATGGGGTCCAATGGAAGTTGTAGCTTAACACACCTAAAGCATGTCACTTCTAGTGGAAGGCTACACAGAGACGTTTTTCTATTCCTATGCTTTACAGAGATTTGATTGAAGCAGAAGGGAAAGACATAGATGTGTTTCACGTACAGCACATACAGATAGTCCTCGACTTACGACCACAATTGAGTCCAAAATTTCTGTTGCTCAGTGAGACAGCTATTAAGTGAGTTTTGCCACAGTTGTTAAGTGAATCCCTGCAGGTGTTCAGTTAGTAACACAGTTGTTAAGTGAAACTTGCTTCCCCATTGACTTTGATTGTCAGAAGGTCATAAATGATAATCACACAACCCTGGGGCATTGCAACCGTCACAAATATGAGTCAGTTGCCAAGTATCTGAATTTTGATCATGTGGCCATGGGCATGCTGCAATGGTCATAAGTGTGAAAAAGTCACAACTCACTTTTTTCAGAGCCACTGTAACTTTGAATGGTCACTAAACCAACTGTTGTAAGTCGAGGACTACCTGTACTCCTACTGTCCTATAGGGGGCATTCCAAATTGTGTTGTCTTTGGTTTGGTACCATATTCTACCCTAAAACGGAAGTTCATGCGTACCTTCTTCACTAGTGAGGACAGATGCCAGCATAGTCTCATTGCCGCTATGAAGGGGGTTGCCTCGGCTTGTGATCTCCCCTGAACTTGGGAGATTTGGGGCAAGGACACGGGGTCGGACCCTGCTTTTGCGTGTGCTGATGCGTATGATGCCCCGGACCAGCCTACATTCGGCATCCTGCTCATCCAAATTGTAGTCCTGAGTAATGCTGTTGATGAGGTCTGAGATCTTGTTGGTCTTCTCCAGGAAGACCGTGTCGGAGGTACACTTGGCCAACTCATCGATCTGGTGGACACTGAAAAGCTCCGTGAGTTTCCTGAAGATGAGGCCATCAATCTCCCTACTGGACATGGAGCTGTTCAGCTCACCAAATTCAAGATCGGACTCGTGGAAGGAATAATGTTCCTCAGAGCTCCGGTGGCTCGTAGGGGCAGGCTGCTTCTCAATGCTGGGTTGAGGGAACCTATCTGGCAAAGGTTCCTTGTAACATGAATCAGAGTCTGTGGCAGAGCTAGGGTTCCGGTTTGGATAAAGCGGGACCGGGACCCCTTTCAATTTCACATCAGGGTAGCTAAAACTGCTTCCCATTGTGCTCTTCCCAGTTCGGCTACCGTTCTTTTCATTGGGGGAGCTGTTGGCTGGACTGTTAGTTGAACGTCCATTGCACTCCTGGTTCTTCCCATCCTCTGTCAGGGTACTGTTGTATGAGATGCTGGCTCGACAGTCCTTGAAGCAGCTCCCACAGGTTATGAAGCAGCAGAATATGGCTTTGGAGGTGTTCCAGACCTGGGAAAGACTGGGACAGCATGGGGGCGGGGGACTTTCTGCAGGTCTAGGGATGAAGGTATTTGTCTCTCCTTCCCCTCCGTGGGAATCTTTGGAATCAGCTTTGTAGGCTCTTCTATCGCGCCTGGGCCGGTGAATGTACTTAAGCTCTGGGGTAGAGCCGTTAAAGACTTCCAGGCCAATATCACTTGTCTTAGGAGAACTGACCCTCTGTGGGACTGCGACATCCTGAGGAGGCCGATGGAGATGGCTTATGTTTTGGCAATGCCCTTGTCTCTTTCCCAGCATGACTCACCACCCCTAAAAGACCTGATAGAAAGAGAAAAACACAAGAGAGAATTATCCCACATATGATCAGATCAGAGCTACCCAACATGGATATAATAAAGACCTTTATCGCTCCTTTCTAAGAGATAAGCCTTCCCTCTGTCATGCAAGCCTTTCTACAGGTAGTCCTCGGTTTACAATCATGACTGGGACCAGAATTTCAGTTGCTGAGCAAAGGGACTGTTACGTGAGTGGCACTCAATTTTAGAAACTTTCTTGCCACAGTTGTTAAGCAAATCACTGCAGACGTTTTATTACCCTAACTAGGTAACACTGCCAGCACTGATGATGTTACCTAGTTAGGGTAATGAAATGGCTGCAAGAAAACAACCAAGCTCAGAGAGCACCAAGGACCCCTCATTTCAACCGTGAGCTACAAATATTCTCCTTCACTGAAATCACTGCAGTTATTAAGGGAATCACACAGACGTTAAATGAATCCCACTTCCCCTATGGACTTTGCTTGTCAAAAGCCAGCTGGAAAGGCTGTAAATGGTGATCACGTGGCCCTGGGACACTGCAACCATTACCAATGCATGCCAGATGCCAAGTGCCCAAATTCTGATCATGTGGGGATGCTATAATAGTCATAAGAATGAGGATGGTCGTAAGTCACTTTTTTCAATGCCGCTGTAATTTTGTCATATTCTGAATCCTGGCATCTTGTTTCTTCATGGTGTGATTTATGCACAGCTACAGATGCCATATTAATCTCTAGGTTGGCAGACATGCTCTGTGCCAAAGATTGCAATTCAGAAATCTGGCTTCAGTGGGAATGTATGCATCTGAGTGTGTATGTGGGTTAATTTGGTTTTACTTTCTGCCTCTTGCTCTGGTTCCTCCTATATTCCCTTCTTACAGGCAGATTTCATCACTTCAAAACCAGACTAAATGTACCCACTTTTCTGGAACCCAATTCTGCACTTGCAAAAGCATCAGGCAGAAGCATCGCATGATATTTAACATTTAAATCAGGGGTTTAAAAGTTCAATGTCTTTCCAAAGCACACAAAGGATTGTTAGGAACTGGGACTGATATATTTTTTTGAAGTGCAGAGCATATGGATGCAGTATCTGAATATATTCCAAGGCTTTACCTCAAACCTATAGTAATGGTGTGAGGGAAGGACCTTGGGAGACAGGAGGGAGAGTCACAGACTAGACTTCCACCATGCAAAAGGTATCTTAGCCCAGCGGTACCCAACTTTTCTGGCTTGGTAGCCCGGCACACAGCTCCACTTGCACAAGTGCAAGCTCCTGCCACTCACACATGCAGTTCCACTCGTGCGAGCGGTGGGCACTTGTAAAGCTCCACTCACACGAATGGAGTTGCGTGTGCAAGCACCTGCTGCTTGCGCGAGTAGAGCTGTGCATATACGCACGCTCGCATGCCACTCATGTGGCCCTGTTCCAAACTGGCCGTGGCCCGGTAGTGGGCCACAGCCCAGGGGTTGGGGACCCCTGTCTTAGCCCACAGAAAGAGGAAGGATGTGGGAAGCATCTCAGAAGGGATCTTCTCTTGTTTTCCAGAGAGTGACTTTTGCAAGGTTCTGTTAATGCAACCTTACAAAAAAGATACAGTTAGTCCGCCTAGTTGTCGTTCTTCTCTTGACTATCTCACAAGGTGTTTTACAAGACTCAAAGTATCCTTTTTCCTCCTCCCACTTTCCTCTCCTTCGTGGACATGCCAGACGTCCAATCTCCCTCCCAAGGTCATTCTCACATTCCACTACACCTACTGTAAACCTCTTTCCGTTTTCTGAGTTATTTTACCTTTTGCTTTGCCTTCTTATGGTATCACTGAGGACCTAAGGAGCTGCTTCCTCCATGACAGAAGACCCTGTGTTTGCAGAGGAAAACAAAAGAAGAATTAACAGAATAACAGAATTAAACCATATAATGATTTGGCAGATAGGCTCTGACCCGGCACAGTTTCTATCTGGAGACAAACCAAAAGTTATTCACAGAAAAATATCAGTTAGTTAAGAGAGATTCAAGAAGAACATTGCTCCAAGTGAAGCATCAACTGAAATAATTTGTGGCTTCAAACCAAGCACAGGGTACTTCCTTTCCCCCCAGAGTGCATAGCCTAAAAAAGTAGTCATTCTCACAAGGATGACCTGCCTACTGCCAGTAAAAAAAAAAAAAGAGAGAGAGAATAAATTAAGTAAATGAGGTATTTGCTGCCCTTTTATGGCAGCCAAAACCATCTGCCTAAAGCAGTTGCCTCACCCTATCAAATAGGAGAGCTGGCCACAGGGTTGAAACCATAAAAAAAAACCAAAAAAACCCCCAAGAAAGGAATTTGGTGATCGTAAAGCCAGCAATCCCTATCTGCTTTTCCAAAGAATTTCAGGTTGCTGATGTCAGAGATCCTTGCCAAGTGTTGTCATTTTAGATGTTGAGAAGGGGTGAAACAGCCAATTTTTGTAATATTATATTGATTTAAATCAGGGGTCTTCAAACCTGGCCCTTTTATGACTTGTGGACTTCAACTCCCAGAATTCCTCAGCCAGGCATACTGGCTGAGGAATTCTGGGAGCTGAAGTCCACAAGTCATAAAAGGGCCGGGTTTGAAGACCCCTGATTTAAAGCAATGGCCATCAGGAATTTTATATTTGGCATGGAGTGCCTTATTCATAGATTATATTTTCTTACGGTTGGGTTTTCTTCTTTTAAAAATGTGGGTGGATAGCAGAAGGTTATTAAGAAATACTGGATTGTTCAGACATAAGCCAATTCTTGGCTTGGGGCTACATGAACAGCTTGGTATGCTTAAGCGCTCCTTCCTCCACCCATGTGCAAAGATTCCGCCTCTTGCTTCAGAGTAGCTAGGAAAGTTTAGTTTAGTGCTACTCAATTGTACATGTCAGAAAATGTCACTACGGGTGGTCCTCGATTTACGACCACAAATGAGCTCAAATTTCTGTTGCTAAGAGAGACAGTTTACCCTGTTTTAAGACCTTTCTAGCCAGAATTGTTTACATGATTATGGGACGCTGCGACCGTCATAAATACAAGCCAGTTGCCAAGTGTCCGAATTTTGATCATGTGACCGTGGGGATGCTGCAAAGATTGTAAGTGTGAAAAATGGTCATAAGTGGCTTTTTTCAGTGCCGCTGTAACTTCAAACAGTCACCAAATGAACTGCTGAAAGTTGAGGACTTTCTCTCGAAGTAGATGCTGAAGAACAACACGTGGGGAAGTTTCAAAAATGGAATACAGCTCAACACAGCTCAATTATGACTACAATTGGAGCCAGAATTTCTGCTGTTAAGCATGCAACTATTAAATGAATCAGGCCTGATTTTATGAACTTTTTGCCATGGTTGTTAAGTGAATCATGAAGTTTTTTAGTGATTCTAGCTTCCCTTGTTGATTTTGCTTGTCAGAAACTGGCTGAGAAAATCACAAATGGTAATTACAATAGTTGCAGTGACCCCAGGATACTGCAACTGTTAGTAAATATACGCTGGTTGTGAAGCGCCCAAACTTTGATTATGAAACTATAGGGATGCTGTGACGGTCATATGTGTGAAGACCAGTCATAAGTCACTTTTCCTAGTACTGTTATATCTTTTTTAACTAAACGAATGGCTGTAAGTTGACCTGTAGTAGCAATTCAGATTGATAGCCCAGATCCAGGTAATAGCAGAGATGCATCGTTTATATATTAAAGTGATTGTTTGCAAATACTGCAGATTCTTGCTAATCCTCCCTCAATTTCAGAACAAGCAACTGTATCGCTAAGATTCAACTATTTGGAACTGACCTCAGCACTGAAGAAAAAAAACATATTGATGTCTAAGATATGCATCGGGCTAACATTGCTGATCTTCTAAGCATGTTTAAGTCTGCCTCCCTGGAAGCCTCTCGTGGGCTTTTGGCATAAAAAAGAAAAAAAAACTTGCGATTTATGATTTTGATGATTAGACAATATAGAAAGAAGAGAATAGGATATAACTTTAGAGAGTTTAAATATGCACTTGTATTTACAAGTGCTTTGAAGAATATCAGAAGCTACATCTTTACGTATATCATTTTCTTTTCTACTTTCTGATTATTTTTTTCAAGTTTTTTATTTCCTTTGCTTTTTCTTTTTTTCTTCCTTACTTTGTATTACCGGTAGTTTATGTTACTTTTTTATCTTCTTGTTTAAAAGCTTTAATAAAAAATATATGCAACCCCCCCTTTCTGCTCCTCTGTGTAAACTCTCTCCTCTGGGGCTTAAATCCATGCATGCAGGAACACAGGGAGCAATCATATAATTTTTTTACCTATTTGGGGAACCCAGAAGCCACGTCCTTCCATTTTTAACTTAGAAATCAGGTGCTCTGCAGCTATCAAAACTCAGAAAACATAGTACAGTGTTTTCCAGACACTGTTTGGAATTCTTGTCAATTTGATTCTCTGACAAATATAGAAACTACATAATAAAACCTGAATATTTGCCAGATGATCAGGTTGATTGGAACCAGCAAGAGGTTTCCAGGTATGAAGCAAACTTTTCCAATCCTAAGGAATCACAGGTGGTTCTCTACTTACAATCATTCCTTTAGTGACCTTTCAAAGTTACAACAGCATTGAAAAAAGTGACTTATGACCAGCTCTCATACTTATAACCGTTGCACCATCCCCACGGTCACATGATCAAAATTCAAGCACTTGGCAACAGGCATGTATTTATGACCATTGCACTATCCTAGGGTCACGTGATCACAATTGGTGACCTTCCCAGCCGGCTCCTGACAAGGAAAGTCAACAGGGGAAGCCAGATTCCTTTAGCAACCTCATGATTCACTTAACAACTGTAGCAATTCGCTTAAGAGCAAAGATCATAAAATGGGTCACAACTTACTTATCTTGCTTAGCAACAGAAATCTGGGGCTCCATTGTGGTCATAAATTGAGGACTACGCATATTGTTTCAGACAGGGGAGATAACTTAAAGCAGAGATGGACAACTTTTTGAGAAGGTTGGGGTAGGCACCAAGCACATAATTGCAAAACAGGCAAGGTTCCGTAGGTTTTTTTTTTAAAGTATATTTAAATATATTTTTGTGAATTACATTATAGTAGTCAGATTTTCAATTTCAAAAGGAACTAGAAACGTACCACCAATTTTTGGCAAGGATATTGCTGAAATTCAGTAGCACTATTAGAGAGGAGACTCCAAAAATTGAGCTTGAAGATTTTGCGTCCTGGCACCCCCAATTGCTCTAACCTGGACTGAAGAATGAGTACCTGTCTTGACAGATGCTTCAAGAGCCAGGATAGCTGTGCTCTTTTGCACGTCTGGAACTCTTATAGCAGGGGTCTTCAAACTTGACCTTTTTATGATACGTAAAAGGCTGGCTGAGGAATTCTGGGAGTTGAAGTCCACAAGTCATAAAAGGGCCATGTTTGAAGACCCCTGTCTTATAGCAATAGCATTTAGACTTATATACCACTCTGTAGTGCAGGGGTCTTCAATCTTGGCCCTTTTATGACTTGTGCACTTCAACTCTCAGAATTCCTCAGCCAGGCACGCTGGCTGAGGAATTCTGGGAGTTGAAGTCCACTAGTCATAAAAGGGCCAAGTTTGAAGACCCCTGCTGTAGTGCTTTCCAGCACTCTCTGGGTGGTTTACAATGTCAGTGTCAACGCTGCAAATACTGTATATTCTTGCTTTGACAATATGCAGAACTGTCTGGTATTTATATAGTTAAACCAGCAACTGGGAAAGAGGGAGGAGCATAAGGATAGCCCGGGAGAAAGAAACAGGAAGTAAATCACATCTTCCAAGTTGATTGGAAGATGTGAACCATGACCCTACAATAAGGGAGTGGGAAATGCTTGGAATGTATATGTGTAATGGAAGAGAAGCCAGACCTAAGCATTTTCACCATGCTGTACTGACGTCTCTGTAACCTTAATAAATGCTTTTAGGAAAAATATGCCTGAAAGTCCTTTTAAGTGTTTCGTTAATCAGACACATGACAGTCAGCATATTGCCCCCAACAATCTGGGTCCTCATTTTACCGGCCTCGGAAGGATGGAAGACTGAGTCAACCTTGAGCCCTGTCAGGATCAAACTCCTGGCTGTGGGCAGAGTTTGTCTGCAATACTGCATTCTAATCACTGCTCAACCAGGGCTCACTAATGTGATAGCAACACAATAGACACCATATGCCGGGAACTGTGTATTCTTCTTGCAATTGAGAACATGAAATATATCCTGATCTGTCTTGCTTAATATACTTTTTGGTATTTAGTGGACAGGTAAAGGTAAGTTAGGAAAACAGACCTGGCTTGCAGGACATCCAATCTAACTATGATAAACTGGTGATGTTGAAATGAATAACCAAAAGATGACACATATCTTCTTTGTTAAGCAAGGTGGTCACAGCACATTCCATCTATGTATCTTGGAGAGTTTATGAGGCTACAAGGAAGATACTACAGTAGTATTCAATCTCTCTCTCTCTCTCTCTCTCTCTCTCTCTCTCTCTCTCTCTCACCCTCCCTCCCTCCCTCCCACCCTCCCAGTTATGGAATCTCTGATTTCTGCCTGCTATTTCCAAATAAACTAAACCTGGTAGAATTTTGAAAAATACTTTCTTAAGAGGGAAGAAAGAGTGCCATTTTTGCAAGACACATAAGCTATGTTTGCTGTGCTGCCTGGCATCTGGGAAATCTCCCAGGAAGGATTAGTTAGGTCAAAGTTAACAACCTTTTTGACATAAATTTCAATTTTAAAAACAAATGCAGTCAGAATTCTAGCATGTGTTAGTAATAGAGATTTTGG